CAGAAGACAAATACCTTAAAAAATAATCGCATCGCAATCGCAATATTGGGGCAAAAAATCGCAATTAGATTATTTTCCATAATCGTTCAGCCCTAGTTGTGTGTTTATATACAGCATACATCCAGTGCAAGTTGTAATTTCATTCATTCATTAGCCACACTGGTTCACAGTTAAATATCTTTAGAGACTTTCCCAAAAGTCTTTCTTTTCTTTTTTTCTTTAGAAAGGAGCATTTAACAATCGATAAGACTTTCATTAGATGATACAGATAATCAAAGGATGTCTGACCTTAAAGTAAGAGGACATGGTATGAAACTGAGGTGTTAAATAAGAAGAAACGTGTGGATGGATTTTTATCTGGTGTCAAAGTACTTATAGTAGTACATTGTAATTACAGTAATATTCTGCCCATTAAAGTGTCTGACCTCATTTTTGAGTTTCTCTTCTTCAATTTGTGTTTTACAGGACGCTGCCTTGCATGTTTACAGCCGTCCAGGAGCCGCTGCCATCGCCGCGTCCTCTAAGATGTGATGCCTTAAATTTCAAGCGAGCAAATGCACTTGCGTCATAACTGACCACTACTGAAATGGAACAATATTAGATCCATCAGGAAAGGCTCAAAATACAAGTAATCTGGCTTTTACTGTTGTGGCTAATTGGTTTTTGATTCAGTTTTTCCAAGCAATTTATTTCTCTAAATTGTCAGCACTGTGCATTGTGAGCTGCACCACAACCAGGTTGCAATAAAGTCACCATGATAATACCGCAGTTTTTTTTTTAAGCTTTGAGTAGTAACTGTTTGCTTTGACCACCTGAGTTTAACAGGCACTTAAAAGCATTTCATTTCATTTTGATTTGATTGCATTAAGCTAATTAACCAAACCAGCCTCCAGTAATTCCTCACATTGTATGTACTACTAAGCTATGATGCTTGAAATTTTAAAAAAGCATTGCAAGTTTGAAAGAAATCTGCATTAAGGATGATACTTGGTATCTGCTTTAATGATGAGTCTCAATTTAAGCTGGTAAAACATCTGGATTTGTCATGAACCACAGGTTTGCTGCTTTGCTCCCCCCCCCCCCCCCCCCCCAGTATGAGCAATGATCTGTTGTGGGTTTGTCTGTTTGTTTGTCTTCTTTCCTCATGTTTGACTGAACCACTGGTCAGTGTTATCATTGTGGGTATGCGGTGATGAGCAAGTTAAAGATGTAATGTTAACTAAAACAGTCGTTTGTGCCTTTTTTATATACAAAAACTACCACTAACATGGATTTAACCTTCATCCTTAACAACCCAGGTTTGTTTCTGTTTAGTGTGGGTTTATTTGATTTTGATGGTGTGGTGTTTGTTTTGTTTTGTTTGTTTTTTTTTTTTTTTTTGGGGGGGGGGGCTGTAATTGCTTTACCCTAAAACTGTCTTTCTGCACGTTTTTAGATTGGTACATAAGAATTCTGACATTCTTCAGTCAAGTGGGAAACTTGATAAAATAAATCTGACCTTTAAGAGTAATGCAACTTCAAGCATGTAATGATGAAAAGTAACTGTCTAAATTAAATCTCACTGTTCTGAATTGCTTGTGTGAACTTTCTGCTGATCTGAATGTGACTGATTTCTTTTATTAATGTCTGTACTGGAAAATATTTCTCATCTGTTCTGTGCCTATATTGAATGAATTTGTAATTAAAAGTTCATCCATCTTCCTTTGTCTCCTGTACTTTTTCAAAGAAACGATCATGATTGATTTTACGAAAACAATCCTCAACTTGTCTGAACGTAGCACGTTTTCACTGGTTCCTTTATTTGCAGCATGTTTTAAAAGCAATAGAGGTTCTCTGCTCAATCTGTATGTGTCATATCTGCAAGTTGTGGAAGAATGAAACCTGGCTGTAAAATTTCAGCACAGGGGTGTGTCTGGAGGTAGGGCATGAGTTCACACAAATAGTATTATAATTTGTATGTTAAAACTTAGATTTGATTATTATTATTATTTTTTTTTTTATTAAGAGGACTTTAAGGTTATAGTACAGTAATAATCAGAAAAGGGTAGCATGACAGTTGTTTACTTTGATTAAACAAACATTATGTAGCAGTTGGTAATTGATAAGAGGTTAATTTTCAACCAGAAAGTCACTGGAGACCTTGATGGATTTAGGGGAAACTTTAATGAATTTTTAAAATGAAACTTATCCCTTTACCTCCCTTTTTGCCATAACATGGTGAAGTTGCAATAACCAGTCATTTTGAAAACAGTCCATGTACTCTGTAAGTCAAACCCTCACAAATATGACATCACTGTTTCCACCTCTGCAATCCAAAGGCACTGAGCCCAGCCCTGTCAAGACGCTGCAGGTAACACAATTATAAGTGTTCAAACTGTCTAGAAGAGAAGAATTGATCATATAAAAAGAACAGTCTAATCCCTTCTCCCATTATACTTTTTCTCCCTGGGTAACAGGGCTGTATCTTCTAGGTTCTTTGCCCTTATTTCAAATATGAGGGTGTAGTACAGCTCTGGATTGTCTGCTGAGAAAACAGAGCTGTAGCAGCTTTACTGAAGAATATGTCAATAATGACAGCACTGAAAGTTTTAATTATTTTTTTTTGCTGAGAAGTTATTGATAAGTGTTGGCCAGGGGATGGCGCCATTTGAACTGTACAAATGTTGTGACACATGAACTTTTTCTTTGTAGTTTCAATGTTTTGAAAAGCTCAGGAGACTCATACATTTATGAACCCAAACCACAGTCACCTAGATTGTAGATGTACCAATGTATCCAAAACTTGAAAATCAGTCATACTTAATTAATATGAAAACACGAAGTGTAACTCCAAACTAATATCCTAACAGCTTCACTTTGGAGAGACCCAGCTTCAGTTTGTAGAGTCCCAGGTCAGAGTGTCTCCATATGTCACTTATTACAGCAACTCAGATGATTTCATGTCACATGGGTAATGATAATTTAACAGGCTTTAGAGCATAGGTGTCAAACTCTGGCCATTACATTTGGCCCGTGAAGCCATACCAAATTACTATTAGAGCTGGCCTACTGGTATTATACAGCTAATATATATATATTGTTTAGTATTAAGCTTTGCTTGTTCCATATTCAGTTTTTCAGCAAAACTTGTTTGAGTCCATAAGAAAAGATTCATTCTTATATCTGGAGGAAGTTTTTTTTTTTCAATAAATATAAATGTTAGCCCGCGACTTTGTTCCAGTTTTGAATTTTGGCCCACTGTGTATTTGAGTTTGACACCCCTGCTTTAGAGGCATGTGGCCGAGAGCTATAAAGTTTGAGAGTGTCCTAGGCTGAGGCTTTCGCAGGTTTAACTTGGCAGGTATTTTGATGTTGAGTCATTTTTACTGCGCACAGTACACCTGGAATGTGCATGAATGCACCAGAGCTTCCTTAGAAAAGCATGCAAACTGGAACCAACCCAGAACCCTTCTCATGTTCAGTTTCCATTGTTACAAATGCCACAAACCTCATGCTCTAAATACTCTGCAGATGTCAGTTGGAGCTGTGAAGCTAGTGCTGAGGTGGAGAACGTTGCCAAACACAAAAATCAATTCAATTCAATTTTATTTATATAGCGCCAAATCACAACAAAAGTCGCCTCAAGGCGCTCATAGATACAGAGAAAAACTCACAATCATATAACCTCTATGAGCAAGCACTTTGGCGACAGTGGGAAGGAAAAACTCCCTTTTAACAGGAAGAAACCTCCGGCAGAACCAGGCTCAGGGAGGGGCGGCCATCTGCTGCGACCGGTTGGGGTGAGAGAAGGAAGACAGGATAAAAGACATGCTGTGGAAGAGAGACAGAGGTTAATAACAGATATGATTCAATGCAGAGAGGTCTATTAACACATAGTGAGTGCGAAAGGTGACTGGAAAGGAAAAACTCAATGCATCATGGGAATCCCCGGCAGCCTACGTCTATTGCAGCATAACTAAGGGAGGATTCAGGGTCACCTGGTCCAGCCCTAACTATATGCTTTAGCAAAAAGGAAAGTTTTAAGCCTGATCTTGAAAGTAGAGATAGTGTCTGTCTCCCGAATCCAAACTGGAAGCTGGTTCCACAGAAGAGGGGCCTGAAAACTGAAGGCTCTCCCTCCTATTCTACTTTTAAATACTCTAGGAACAACAAGTAGGCCTGCAGAGCGAGAGCGAAGTGCTCTAATAGGGTGATATGGTACTACAAGGTCATTAAGATAAGATGGGGCCTGATTATTTAAGACCTTGTATGTGAGGAGCAGGATTTGAATTCAATCTGGACTTAACAGGAAGCCAATGAAGGGAAGCCAAAACAGGAGAAATATGCTCTTCCTTCTAGTCTGCTGCAGCATTTTGGATTAGCTGAAGGCTTTTCAGGGAGTTTTTTGGACATCCTGATAATAATGAATTGCAGTGGTCCAGCCTGGAAGTAATAAATGCATGAACTAGTTTTTCAGCGTCACTCTGAGACAGGATATTTCTAACTTTAGAGATGTTGTGCAAATGGAAGAAAGGAGTCTTACATATTTGTTTAACACAGTGGCTCCCACAGTGGTTTTTTTGCTGGGCCCCCCTTTGTTTTACAAGAAAATGTTCATGCCCCCCCCCCCGTGGGCACACGCACAAACACATCCTCCAACCACACACACCCATATTTTGCTCTATTGCAGTTTATTTCACACACACATGTATATGTATGTATACATTATATATATATATATATATATATATCAATCAGAAAACATTGGGCATGCTCCTCTTTTTACGCTCCTTCATACCCCTAAGATAATCTGTAATGATGCCAATACATGCCTGTCTGGAACAAGCATAGTGACTGGCTTACAGGAAGGCCCGCATATATCTAACCTGTTTTTTTTTTTTTTTTTTATGTGGGCGTTACAGGCTGCCTGAAGTGATAGCTGTTATTTTGTTAAAACACCCACATGCAGTGCCACTGCTGAGCCCCCATCGACAAGTGAAAGTAAAGGTGAGTCTGTTTTAGTAGAGTTTGAGGAGAAGCAGAATGAACTTCAAAGTAAGAAAACAATTAAAATGTATTTCTTTGTGTGTGTGTAGTGGTGTTATCTTACTTTTCTTAAACTGTCTTTCGTCAAACTGTTTTTACATTGTCTAGATTCTAGGTTGTCTCAGGGGCGTCTTTGCACAGGCTGCGGTCTGAACTGGGGTCTTGAACGATGTGTGTGTGTGTGTGTGTGTGTGTATCTACATATTTATTATGTATGTATGTTGTTAAGACACTAACACAAAGGTGTGTCACAGCTACTCACCAATAATTTGCATTGAATGCAAATGCAAAACTTTGTTTCCACCCACATTCCGCTGCTGAGTCTCCTTTGGCTGTAACTCCACTCGAATCCAGATTGCACATAAAGACTGAGTGGACTTGCACTGACTGATACGTGAAAGTGAGTGTAAGGTTATATGTGATTGTCATTTATGCTTAGAGATATTACTCATATATGCTTTGAGTTTTATAATCGATTGCATAATAATGGAGGTTTGATCCGTAGTAGTCTGTGGAGACTCTGTGTGCCTTCCAGAGCACTCTGGCATACACACACACCTTAAGGTCATGAAAGAGGTTATATCTTCTCTTACTGATTTATGGTAGGAGGACACCTCTGTATCTGTATAAGAGCCTTTGTTTAGATGGAGCGCTAGACTCCTGAATTTGAATTTTGTGGTTGTGGTGCTGTAGTGGTAAAGTTGGGGTGGGGAGTGTGCTCAACCCTACTGGCATGCAGTATACTCATCCAGCAAGTCCAAACCTGTTCAACTGCTTCCTGTAAAAGCTGGAGAGACATATACCAGTATGTCTAAGCAGGCTTATGAAATGAGATTCTGCTCTCACAGTCGAGTCACCGACTGTGAGAGGCAGAATCTCCTCAAAGACATATTTGCATTAGTGCCAGTGTGTGTTCTATCCCAAAGCACTTTCTCATATTATATTATATTTATTATATTAATATCACTGTAACTCCACTGCTGTCCCAAAAAGAAATCATCAACAACAATAACTCTTTTGAACACCTTTATCTCTCCAAACTGCAGTTGAGCTCACAACAATGACAACAACGAATCCTCCACGTTACCTTCCATTTCAGGACAGCATGTATGATGGGAATGGGGATCAACAATCAATGGTTCAGCACACCACTGTGATCATCAGCACTGAGCCACCAAAAGACCATATTATCTGGTCCCTCCTCTGCTTGTTCTACTCAAACCCCTGTTGTCTTGGGCTTGCAGCTCTCATTTATTCTATCAAGGTGAGGTTAAATAAATCGGGTTTTTCATGAACTAAGCATCTGTTATACTTCTGTGTGTCTGTGTGTGCATGAAAAATATATTAATATTTACCTGTCTACTTACTATGACCTACATTATATTGATTTTACCACATAGATCAAGTTAATATCCATGGTCTCCAACTACACTTTTACAATCTATATTTTTCTGTCGTTTTAGGCCAGAGACCGGAAGGTGGTTGGAGATTTGGAGGGTGCACGGCATTATGGGGCCACTGCTCGCCAGCTTAACATCACCTCCACAGTCCTGGTTGCCCTTGGACTCCTGATATTCATTATTACAATGATAGTTGTTTTTGCACGGGTATCTCGTTAAGCCCTCAAAGTAACACACCCTGACAAAACGCTTCCTTTTAACAGATTGCAGTGCATTGCTTGCTGCTGTGACTTTGGATTTGGATGATAAATATTAGCATCATTTTATATCAGTCTTCATTGTGTCTTTTGTTAGAAAAAGACACAATTTCATCTATCTATCTATCTATCTATAGAAAAGGACAGAAACATATATATTTATATATATATATATATATATATATATTATATATATTTTATTTCAGTGAAGGTAATGTATATAAAGATGATTTTTAGCCAATTAATGTTTGTGCCTATCTATCTACACCCAGGTGAAAAATAAGCACACTGCATTTGGCGTCTGCTAAATTACATACGGAACAATGAATGACAGTATACGGAATTCTTCTTTGTTCACAAAAACCTTTTTTCTGTAGCTGTGGATGCTGCATATTCACTGACGGGGATCTCAGCTCATTTGTGGCAGGAAAATCTTTTTATTGAGATGTTTCATTTTCCACTCACTAATATTCCACAGAAACAGTGTGGACATTTCATCCCCTTAGAATTTGTTCGATTTAGAGAATTTAGAGTTGATTTGTAAGCTATATTATAAAAAAAATATTATCTTTGTGATTTAAATGGTGTTGGACTGTAACTCATTAAAAAAATATTACTAGGGTTTTATTTTATTTTATTTCAGATTCCATCGATTTCTGGGAGCTCTGTAGCCTCCGTAGCAATTCTTTCTTCCTTTTTTGAAAAGTATGTTGTAGTATAATGGAAATAGTCTACTTCTGAGGAATTGTTGTTTTAAGGTTTATTTCCAGTAGAGTAGGTGTCGACTGATTGTTGTTACACTAAACTGTCCATCTTTACTCAATAATTGTCTCACTTTAGGAGTTGCAACAGCAGATCATCTTTCTCCAGCTCACCCCATCTCTTGCATCCTCCTCTGTTACACCAACCCTCCTTCACTATACCCTTGAATCTTTTCTGTGGTCTTCCTATTTTCCTATGAAGCCATACTTCTACTCACTGATGTTCACTTCTCTCTCCCTGAACTATCTTCACCAACTCTTTCCATAGCTTCATTATTGGCCACAACTTTATTCTTGTGTAGTTACTACAGTTCTGACATCTCCATGTTCTCAAAACCAGAACCAGTACACTTTTCTCCATTCTCAGGATCTCTCACTCTTTAGATTGCGTTAAACAGTGTGGTCTAATGGTTAGTGGTGTGCGGATTGATACTGAATATTGATTCTTCCGATACCAGTTAATTTATGTTCTAGAATCGATTCTAAACAAAAATATCGATATTTAAGTACTCTGGGGTAAATTTGTAGTTTATCATTAACAGGACACAGTTAAGAAAGAAACTATATCATTCAGATCTTCTAAATTTGAAGGAACTACTTCCTCTTACGCCTTTCATAGACATATGCAAAATACGCTGTATAAATATGTCGCACCCTGGCATGCGCACTCACAACAGTGGCTTAGCGTAAACGGAGTCATGTGTGGACATTTTTACCTCCACAAACAGCCAAGACGCGATTTGCGATACATGTGGCAAGACAGTGAGGTGTTGTGCAACACCACTAACCTCGTCAAACACCTCAGAGTAATCATATCAAAGACATGATGAGCTTATGTTGAGCGAAGTGAAGAGGAGGAGAGGGGACAGGTGTGCTAGGGCGAGACAGATGTCTCTCGCAGAGTCTTTAGTGCTGCAGGCAGCAACGTGTTCAAACAGCGCACACTTTCAAGTTTTTTTATTTCTATATGATAATTCTGCATTATTAAGCAATATGAACAAGTAGTCTGATGTCCTTTATCATTATTAAGCTATATCCTTATATTATACTACAATTACATAATACAATATATAATTGCATTATGAAATACAATGAAACATTAAGTTTTGTACAGAGTATTGGTATCGGATCAGTATTGTCGATACCGCCTGATTTATTGTTATCGGATTGGAAGGAATCAGTGGTATTGCACATCACTACTAATGGTCCACTGCTAAAATGTCCATTTGATATTATCACATTAATTATAAACTCACGATGTTACAAACTACAAATTAGTTAGAAATGGAAGATAAAGAAAATGGTGTTTGGTGATATTTGGTTACTGGGCAATTAAGTTCAAACGCTCAAAAAATATCACCAAACGAAACCTTTTCAGTGCTTTAAATGAAAATGTACATTAATGTATTTACCAAGGAAAAATCATAATGTCTAACACTTTCAGTGCAAAAGGATACAAGAAAGCCAGGACAGAAGAAGAAGACAATTGATTCCTTTCAAAGAGAACGAGAGTTTTGCAAATTATATTTTGTAAAACAGAAAATTTAAATCGTACTTATAAATGTTAATTCAATGAATTCAGGTCTTTTAATCAGATTTGATAAGGATGTTGTTGATACACACACACACACACACACACACA